AATAGGTATTGTAACGTGTGAAGCCACTTAATATGGCAGTTAGACGGCAACATAATAGGATGAGACTTCACTCCTACAGCACAGAATTCTGGTACCTTCCATACTGGGCGTGTTTAACCAAAGCAGAGCAGTAGTGATGTCCACATATTGGCAACTCATAACAATTCATTTATTCTTTGTTTTTTACCTAAAAATAAAAGCAAAGAAAGTCTAATATTTCCTTTCTGTCTGTCAAAAGATCATCTCATGTAAACCTTTCCGAATTTGGTTTCTGCCAACGCAAGTCTCTTAAGATTCTATCAAAACTCATTTCAGTACAAGATCTGTTGTCAGGCATGTTCAGTCTTCCCAACTCCAGCTCTTTCCTTCGCTACAGGAGATCTTGGCCAGCACACTGAGCTTTGCTTTTCACTGTGTCTATAGCTCTACAATTTTACTTTACTGGGGATAACCGTGTCACTTCGTTGTGCAGATAAAGCCACTTTTTAGTTGTGAAATGAAACAAAACCTGTACTCCGGATCTGCAAGCATCTGAAAACAGGTGTGTGGGATTTGACTGTGTTTGGGGAGGGTTTTGGCAGGGAGACGTCCTAACATCCTTCTGATGACTCCCCTGGACACTTCTTTACCAGGCAAAGAAATGTAAAGCTCACCCCCATGTACTGCCATTTTTCAAGCCACCTCCCCTTGTCACAGTGCTGAGTTCCTTATCGTAAAGTTTCTAAAATGCCAATTTGTTTCCATTTAGTGGACTTTTCAGTGGACCGGTGGCTAGTTTTCTCATTTTGTGTTGGGGGGATAAGCGGGCCTGCTCTGCATTCTCCCCAGTTCTCTGCTGCCAGCCAGCTGGTAACCTGCAGTAAGTCATTCCACCGTGCTGGATACAGTTTCTGCTTCTATAAAAAGAAGGGATTGAGTTGGATTGATGTTCTATAAGATTCTAGACCAAAATCAATGATATGAGCCATATTGTAGGATTCTCTCCTGTTCCTATGATGGTTTCTATAATATCTTAAATTTGCAGTAACTAAAGAACCAGAACAACTCAGCTTCAGTAGTTTAATTTTTAGTAAGTTGTATGGGGTCAACCTCAAACTGTCACTGAGGCTGAAAGGTGAGTTTACTACCAAAACAAATGTAATATAGACATTATGTCTCCAATTTAATAAAAGTGGAAAGAATTTGGCATAGGTCTTGGCTTATATCCAACAATCATTGCCCCTTTTTTAAATAAAATCTGAAATCATTTGGCATAAAAGCAGGTATATAGACGTGACCAAGGTATTCCTTCTTGGTTAAAGCTATTTTCCTCTTTCCCACCCCCAAAAGACATTCTTTGCTTAGATTTCTTTTCTTTATCCTAACGAGGAAACAGTGGAAAAAAACTTTCTTGCTTGCCCTTCAGGGATAATGTCTGGATATAATTTGTAGCATGTTATGCTCTCAAAAGGAAAAAGTAGGTGTGCCATATTGCAATGCTTTTCCTTTTCTTCTCTTCACATTTTCTGTGATTGAGTTTTCACCAATGAAGCTTCCATTTAGATCCTGGAAGAAATTCTGTTATTTCAAGGCAAGCAAAAAAATCTGGAATGCTTTCCTCTAACTTGTCGTCAGAACCTTTGCGGGAACGAGCGTCCCCAGTGAGCACTGTTTGAGCTCCGTGTCCTGGCTGCAGCAGCCTGTCCCGCTCGGAGGGAGCCCTGCCCTGCTCCTAGGCTCCTGGCTTGTGCCGGAGAGGAGTCCTCTGCCACGCCGAACACAGTGGCCTTCTCTTGGGCTCATCCCACTCCAGCAGTTTTTCTCTCTGCACCACATTTTTTTTTATTTCCTTTTGTTTTTCTTTTCTTCTTCTTCTTCTTCTTCTTCTTTTGTGTGTGTGTGTGTGTGTGTGTGTGTGTGTGTGTGTGTGTGCGCCTCAGTGGGTAGACTGGTGGGTTTCCAGGATTCCTGAGAAAGGTGTCAGCCGCCATCTGTTCAACTGCTTTTCGACTTTGGAACATGCGAAGTTAACTTGACATTGGTGCGAGATTGCAGTGGGACTCAGGCTCAGAGAGGGATGTTCACATCCTCTCTGAGACCTGATTTCAGCAGCAGGGAGCTACTTGGTGCCGGGGCTCCTTTTGGGTACATTGAAACTGCATAGGGATCCTGGAAAATAATGAACACCAGAGCTTAATTTTTGCTGGGATTGATTGTCAAAGTTAAGCATTTGCTTCAAATCTGCCCTACCCTCTCCCATCTCTGGCTGTCTTCCGCAGGACTTCTTCATCCCGAGAAATGAAGTGATGGGGTGGGCTCTCCCTCTGTTCCTGAGGATCCACCATTCCAGCTCCAGTGGTCGACTGTCTTGGTGAGCACGGACAGAGAGAGTCGTGCTGGATGGTGTGGGCCTGAGGTATACACATTCAGTTGCTGTCTGTGCCCTGCCCAGGCCACTTGAACCGCATGCTCAATAAGAGTACCGTCTCCTACAGTCGGGATAAAACTGGTCCTGGGAGCAGTATAATGGTTAATTTTATGTGTCAACTTGATGGGCCACAGGGTGCCCAGACTTTTGGTCAAGCATTATTCTGGGTGTGTCGGTAAGAGTGTTTCTGTGAAACATTAACATTTGAACTGGTAGACCAAGTAAAGTGGATTGCTTGCCCTGAAGTGGGTGAGCCACATCCCATCAGTTGAAGGCCTGTATGAATAAAAAATCTGACCCCCTGTGAGTAAGAGGGGGTCCTTCCTGCCTGACTCCCTTGAGCCGGGGCTTGTGTCGTTGCCTTCCTTCACACTCAAACTGAGACATCAGCTCTCGCTGGGCCTCATGCCTGCTGGCCTTCCAACCGGAACCTCCCCCATCCACTCTCCTGGAGCTCCAGCTTGCTGACTGCAGATCTTGGGACTTGTCAGGCCCTATAGTCGCAAAAACCAAATCTTTATCATATAATGTATATTTATATATATATGACTATGTATTTTGACAGATATCAGAATGAAGTCATACTTGCACACAGACACAGACCCACTGATTCTGTTCCTTTGGAGAAACCCTAATACAGGGGACAAAAAAAATCTTGCATATTTTAATGGTTTGTGACCCGCCCTCAATAAAGGATCACAGTACATAAACAGATATATGTGGTATTAAAATTTCACAGGGGTAGGAACACTTAGGAAAAACTGCTGTAAAAGGCTACTTCAGGTGCTGATTTTAAAAAAGATTGAGAAACACTGCTGTGGGCCCACTTTTTCATGTGCCCCAGCTGACTTCCACCTACCAAGGTGTGTGTGTCTGTCCTCAGTGGCTCTCCCCTCACCCCCCAGTGTCTGTCAGCCACTGACTAATGGGTTGGTGTGTGAATGCCTCGGGTCCCCCACTGAGAGGTGCGTTGGTGATTCTGAGCTGTGTTTCCCAGTTCACCCCCAGGTAAGCTCCAGCGGCCTTTGTGGGTGCTGCCTAAGATCGCACCCTTTATCTCCACCTTCTTCCTCCTGCCTCACTGCCCCACTCTTTTGCTGATTGGCCTGTGCCTTCTGAATCAACCACCTGCACTCAAATCCCTATCTCAGGCTGTTTCTGCGGGAGCCCAAACTAAGGCTACATATACTTATGTGCAAATAATGTGTAAGTTCATTAATTACATAAGGAAAAAGGTCCATGCATGAGACAGTTGCCATACCAAGACTGTAAGTGATCCAATTCTGGGTGCCTGACATCCACTTTAAACATTTTTGTTTAAAGTATCCTGAAAACAGGCTGCCTGGCTCCTGCCCTTTTTCTAGCTGTGTGATTGTGGGCAAGTGACATGTCCTCTCTGTGCCTCAGTTTCCTCATCTAAACGGTGGGGATGATCGCAGTGCCTCCTCACAGGGTTGTCGAGTGCACCAAAGGAGTTAGTCTGTGGAAGTGCTCGGGTGGTGCCTGAACCAGGACTGGCTACCATTTCTGCAGCTGTGTGGCTGTTGCTAAGTACGTGGTTCTGTTACTGCCAGACTCCTGTCTCACCAAGACAGCAGGAAGGGAAAGCAGCAATAAAAGTTTTACTAGGACTTTTTAAACTAGAAGTTACCTTTACTCTAAAAAGGCTCAGATGTTGGGCCATCTAGGCTAACACATTCTTACTGTATTAATAGTCCCATTGTTCAGTGCCTACCTGGAGCGATCCACACCTCCACTTTTGGGATTCAAAGATCCCTATCTCCAGTAAAATCCATGGCCAGCACCTGCTTTATGACCCACTGGGCTACTGAATCCAAACACAGAATTATTAAACAAGTAGGCACTGGCCTCATATAATGAACCCTCTTGGGCAATATGTCCCCCTGGCATGAGAAAAATGCTCTGTGTTCCCTTGCTCTCCAGTGACAATGACCGTAGACATGGAGGTGATAGCCCTAAAAGCCTGCAAAGTGAGAGAACCCAGCTGCTTTAAACACCCCACCTACTGGCAACAGGAAGTTAAGATTCTTCCCTCCCATATTTCAGCTTCCAAAGAGATGTTTCACTTGGCTGTGGTTTTGATTTTGACATGATTTATTTGTGAGTCAGAGATCCCGAGCTGATAACATGTTCAATACCACTATAAAAATCTACATAGTAATTTCTCTTCGGACCCAAGCGGGTTTATTTAGACTGCTTGTTAAGAAATGGAATCACAACCCACAGAACCCTCTCTTCCTGTTCATATTAGAACCCACCTCTCTTAATCAAAGGCCCTACTTCCCCTGCATATACTGTACTTCTGTTTCTTCCCTTCCCATTATCCGGATATATGAGACATTTTCTTTCCCCACCCTATCCGGCCATCACCCTATCACCAGCCTGTGGCCCTTCTCTGAAATAACTGCTTCCCACAGAACGGGGGCCAATGACCTTTTTCTATAAAAAGCTGAATTGCAAATATTTTAGACTTTGTGGGCTGTGTCGTCCTGTTATAACTACTCAACTCTACTGTTGTATCATGAAAGCAGCCACAGATAATATGTAAACAAATGAATGTAACTTTTCCCAATAAAACTTTATTTATAAAAACAGGCAGTGGGTCAGGTCCAGCCCACAGGCTGCAGTTTGTGGATCCACACGTTAGAACAACAAAAACAAACAAAATTAGTCATCCACCAGGTCTACTCAATAAGGTATTAAAAAATTGCTTTGCTTTTTAAAAAAATGTTTTATATAATGCCATGTACACAAGAATTTCCATATTTACTTCTAAAGCTGTTTTGCAACACAGCCAGAGTTGTGCTGCAACATTCTCTATATTTACCATGGTTTGTCAATTGAAAGCAATAATTAGGGCCCTTGTATTCATGCATTCATTTCATAAAAACCACATACTGGCCACAACGGTTACCCCGTTGGTGCATTTATCAATGCTTCTTACTTGACTTTTGTTCTCGTTGCATACAGTATAATTTTGTTTACCACATTAGGCACAGTAATAAGCTTTTTCTCTACTATGGATGCACAATCAAAATCAAAGAAGAATATTGACTGTACTAACTTTGGCCCAAGGCATTTGTATGGAAACTTTAGAACAGAAATACAATTTCTCTAGTTATTTCCTCCACTCTCCTGAGTTCAACTCTGCACAGATTACTTGTCATTGTGGGGATACAAATAAGACTTCATTAACATCACCATTCTGATCGTGGTAAACAAGTTTATTTACACTTGAGCACTGCTGAAGAATGAAGTCATAGAGAAAAGTTCATGGTAGGTGGCCCTGCCTTTTCCATTAAGGCGGGCTTTGACAAAATTCTCAGCATTTCAGTTAGACATGCTGCGATTCAGCCACCCAGGGTTAATGAAAATGCGGGGTGTGTGCCTGTTAAAAGGGGCAACACTTGTAAACGAGGCTAGTCACATTTTTACTTAATGATATGTGTCATTGCTGTGTCTAGCATTTGTTCCTAACTCTTTGTTCCTTTGCTCTTCTAGTATGTATAAAAAGGATAAATCAGGTCTCCTCAGTGACATTTGATGGCTGGCTAGCTATCAGTTAAATCAGGTTTTTTTCTTATAATTAGATATGAAGTTGTTCTCAATAATGACAAAACCCGAGAGGGTGGGACTCCAGGTGCATATTTGAGATTATGAGAAGGAAAAACTTTAATCTGCACCCTGGAAAAACAATGTGGAGGTCTGGCCCTTTTCTGTCTTTGAAAACAGGATGCATGTAACGGCAAGCACCATCTAAATGCTCAGCTCCTACTGCAGGACTGGTTGGCAGTCCTCCCACAAGGGACAGAGGTGGGAAATTCCAGCTCCTGGTGCTGTGTATGTTGGGAAAATACCTGGTGGCAGATGCAAATGTGAATGCAGATCCATGTGATGGCCCTGCGTGCACAGAGAAAAATCCTGAGCAAGATAGAAGGAGGTCATGTCCCCTCCTGAGCTTCTGGGGTCAATGCTGGGCCTTTCCTCTGGAAGGTCAAGCCTGGGGCTGCTCACAAGCTCCTTGAGGCAGCTAGTGGTTGGCATCCTATCACTCTGGTGGACCAAGAGGGCCACCTGTCTGTGACAGCTCAGAGCCGGATGCCAGAGTGGTCTTTCCCAGGAGTCAGCTGGGTGTGGACAGGCTCCAGGCAGGGGTGGTAGGGGTGGGAAGAAGACCGAACAGCCGCAGAGCCCCAGCCATGCTCTGGGCATTGAGATGGGTGCCTTAGATCATCCAATCACATGGCATGGAGATTACTTGAGATTCTGAAAGTGGCTTACCCGAACCCCAGGCAGGGTGGTTCCCTCTCTGCATCAGTTTCTTGGGAGGCTGGCTTTAGATAGAAAAAGAGCTAGAGACATGTTCCACTCTCACCTGCAATAAGAAGGGTCAGTAAAAAACCTTTAAAAATGGATCCTCTAGACTACCAGTAAGTTTTATTTCTGGTAATGGACTGGACCAAAGGTACAGACACAGCTATAGGGCTCCACTCACTTTAGAGATGGGACCTGAGGCTCAGAGGCTGATGAGCTCGGTCCAAGCTCCAACCACCAAGGTCCTTTCCACACTCCTCAGAAGCTAAAGGAAGGATAAGATTAAGGCCCAGATTTGAACAGTGCCCTGGGGCCAGCATGATCCTGAGAACTATCTTAGTTAGGGTCAATGCTAGCTGCAGTGCCAAGCAAGCCCCCAAATATTAATGTCTTAGCACAATAAAAGCTGTTTCCCCTGGTTAGTTAACCATCTAATGTAACTGTTCCTGATCAGCAGACAACTTGCCCCCATGTGGGTCCAGCATCTTACAGGTTCTAGTAACTACTTATTTAATAAACCTGTATAAGAAATGTATTCAGGGAATCATGGACACAGATTCCTCCCACTTACGGATCTGCTGTTCCCTAAAGCCTTGGAATCCTTAAGGAAGAGCACAGAGGAGAGGGCATGGATTCTAATGAGCCACATTTCAAATTGCATTGGCTGGAAATTGTTCTAAGCTGCAAGGGAGCTTGAAGAATGTCGTCTAGCTGTATGCGCAACAAGAAGGGTGAATGGCTCCAGTGAACAGCCTCTGCTACAGGGGCCCAAGGATCCTCATAGCTCAGCGGTACGTCACCCTCAGGGTCTGGTCCTGGACCAAAGTGGCAGCTGGCAAAGCTGCATTCTAGCTGACTAGCTGAAGAGCCACTGAACTAAATCCTGGACATAAGTCATCACCCCTCAACTAAATAATCTCTTGCAGCAGTTCGGACTTTTGCATCCATCAGACAGAGAAACAAACAGAAAACCAGAGAAATAAGGACGTGTGTTAGGTATTCCCTAAGTTTCCTCATCTGTAAAACAGAGCTAGTACGACCACCAACTTCATAGGGTTGTGAGAAACAAAGGAGTCGATACACGTAAAATGCTTGAAGGGCGCCTGGCTCAGAATGAATGCTCAATAATAAAGAGCTATGGGAAGAGGAGGGGGAAGTAGGGGGAGAAGGTAAAGAAGAGAAAAGGAGGGTTCCCTGAAGCAGAAGTTTCCCTAAAATGTGTATTTCTCAGGGGTTTTTGCTTATTTCTCATTGGCCAGAACTTAGTCACATGGTTTCAAGGCAGCAAGGAAGAGTGGGAAATGTAGTTTTTATTTCAGGGACCCATAACACCTGGCTTTATTTCTAGGGAAGAAAAGGAGAATGGGTAATGAGGGACAACTCATAGTTTCTGCCTTGTTCACTAGCAGCCTGTACAAGGCTCATTTTTCACAGCAGCTAATTTCCCAGAGGGTGGACAGAATTACCTGGCTTATGAGAACAGAGACCTGAGATGAAGTCCTTAGCTAGGACTGTGGAGTGACAGGCAGTTGGGTGCCCAGTTGGGGGCAGCCGTGCGGTGGCTGATGCTGGGTGCTGTTCCTCCATGGCCTGAGCTCTCCACCTCCATATGCACACCACCCATCAGGGAGTGCACGGGAACCAGGCCACCCCCAGGACTGAGGCTAATTTACCTAGGAGGGCCCCTCTCTCCATCCATGCCTCAACCATTCCCTCCTGTCCCCGTGATCCTTCAGCCCCTGCCACTCCCCCCACCCGCACCACCAGCACACAGTTCCTTACTGCTGCCTGGGACCCTCCCCTCAAGGCCTCACTCAGGTCGTGGCTTTTTTTTTTTTTTCAGAAATAGGATCATTTCAGATGTAATTAGCTCCAAGAACTTATAAAAATTGTCCTTACAAAAAGAGGAAGTTTGAACGCAGGGAGAGCACCATCTGAACATGAAGGCAGAAGCTGGGTGCTGCCCCCCGTAAGTTAAGGACACCAAAGATGAGCAGCTATCACCAGCAGCTAGAGGAGGGGCCAGAGACAGTTCTCCCTCATTGTCCCTGGAAGGAACCAACCCTGCCGACAGCTTGACCTTGGACGTCCAGCCTCCAGGACTGGGAGACGGTAACTGTCATTGTTGAAGCCCCCCAGTCCATGGTACTTTGTTATGGAGGCCCAAGCAAACAAATACACCTGCGCCGGCTCCAGTTACCACCAGGTTTTGAGCCAAGCCTTGCTTCAGCCACCTGGTCCAGGCCTCCCCAGCTGGTCCCAGCCCTCAGCTCCACCTCCACACCATCTACCCATCTGCTCCCTGCTGCTGCCCCGAGTCACTCTCCCCATAACCCCTAGTCTCTGCTGCCGACACCCCTGGCAACACATCGAGGTGACACATTCACTTTAAAAATCCTCCTCTCTTGAAGTGGTACGGCAAGCGAGTACTTTAGGGGAAGCCAGATTCTCTCACCTCCCCTAAGGCTTTAGTTGTGCCACAAAATGAAATAGATTTGAGTATCTTCTGGATATGCTGATTAACACGGACAGTCACCCTGAACAAGTAGATCATTTTCTTTGAGTGGGGGTGGGGAATTAACTCAGAACGTGGAGTGTATCTGGGCTTCAGGGCAAAAGTCTCAGTCGTTATTTACAAAGTACTTTTCAGTAACAGAAATAAGAATTTGATGAGAGAAACTTGGGAAACAAGCGAGATGAAAAGATATACAGCTAGTCTGATGATATCCAGAAGTCCCATTACTGGAAAGTTCCCCAGCTGTTTAAGAAAAGGAGCAACCACCAGGTGCCCCAGCTTTCCCCAGACAGCCCCAATTTCAAAGATTCACTTCCCAGTACACCCTAAGAATTCTCATACCTCTGTGTTTTGAGTTGTGGTTCAGAAAAGTTAGCCTCCATAGAGCCAGGGCTCATGTAGGGAGCTCCAAGGAGTGCTGGCAGAGATCAGACAGAAGGGCACAGCCTGATGGGGATGCCCGGTCTGGAGAGAGCAGGGATCCCAAAGGCCCACCTGGGGAAAGGGCCCACCTCTTCTCCCAAATTGTTAGGCAAGTACCATCTGGTTAAAATGAACAGCAAAGGAAGGCAGCCTTGAAAGAGGAGAGAAGTCCAGTTGGATGACCCTAGAGAGGGCATCCAGAGGACAGCTGTCGGTCCCTAACTGCCCCTCTCCCACCAGCTGAGTGTGTGCAGGTGTGAGTGTCCCAGGGCCCTGGCGTTCTCTTTCAGCATCAGACCCCAGGGGGAATGGAGGGCAAAGCCTGCACAGGAGGATTGCCTAGGGGCATAGTGGGCACTGGAACTACACGCAGGTCCCACGCTTTCCTCCTTTCTGGCACCTGTTACGCAGAATGATGAGGTGCTCTCCCCAGGCCACTGCCTGTGCTGCCCTGTGTACCCCACCTGGACTCTACCTGCCTCCTGAGCTCTGCAGGTACAGGAATCATGGCATCGCACGGCCCTTGGTGCCCAGGAGCCACACTGGGTATTCAGGCATCATTCTCATGAGAGCACAAGAGAGAATATGCCCCCCCCTTGGCACTGGGCACAGCGGGAAACCAGGACCCCCACCTCATTTCAGAGGAAGGGGATGGCCAGGAGCAAAGGGCAGAGGGGATCCAGTCTGTGTTGCATCGAAGTTTTGTTATATTTTTGTTTTTCATTTTCAGATGAATAATTCAGTGGCTATGCCAAGGTTGAAATATTTTTCTGTTTTCAGTAAGATGTGAGAAAAGGAAATGAATTTTAATGAAATGTTTTGGTTTACTTTATCAGAGGCTTCCAGTACAGTGGGATTCCCACGCCCTCAACAGATGTCAGCTGTTTAATCCTCTTGCCTGCAAAAGGCAAAAGCAAGCCATGCAGCCGCCCTGCTCCGCCCTCTTGCATCCCCACCCCCCAGTCCTGGACAGGCGGAGCTGCCAGTGAGCACGGAGCTGCTAGAAACTTGAAGCCAGGTGAATTCCAGAAAACTAAAATTACAAGTGTCGATTATGATGCTTTTCTATGTGGGTGAGAACACCTGTCCCACGTCCCTGGGGCCTGTGCATCCCGCTGCATCTGGCTTTGGCAGATGGCCTAAGCTCTCTGAGCCGACCACTCCCAGGGAGGACTTAAGCATCATAAGATTCTGAAAACAGGATTTAAGGGGAGGTGGAGAGATGTGGCAAGATCTCTACAGAGACAACAGAGCCGTCAGGTGGAGGTGATGTCACGGATGTCTGAGAATATGCCAGAGCATGAGCTCATTTATAGCTGTGGGCTCGGGACATATTTCTAGCAGAAGTTTCTGAACTAAGTCAGCCACTAACCGAACACGTGGACTCTCTTAAGTGGGATTGCTGATGAGATCCCTCCTAATTCAAGAAAATGCCTTCCTCAAATGAGATGTCATCTGTAGATGGATCAAAGGAATGATTCCTTGAGCCCTGAGCACTGGCGCTAGTTTGGGGGATGGAGAGATAAAGGGAAGCAGAACCTGTCTGCCAGGGCTTAGGAAAATCAGCTTGTCTAGGCAGTGAGTCTGCGTGACAAACAAGACCAAAGAAGTCTGCAGTCAGGTGCCGCTTGCCTGGATTCTCAGCTGCTACCATCCCTGGGGTGTTGACTTGTCCAGGGATCCAAGTGGATGTCTCAAAAGAGAAAAACAAGAGTAACTGTTGAAAGAATACAGCTATAAAAGAGTTCTGTCATCACAGGGATCTCATAGTAATTCTCTGTTCATGTACTTCACCATTTAAGGTTTTCCAATCATGTTCTAACTATGCATCATTGTTGCCCTTGGTAAGAAAAGGAGAAACATCTTCCTGGTGGTGGATGGGGGCACTGGGATTCACAATGGCAGCTTCCCAGGAACGTGTTTGCTTCTTTGTTCTGATTGGTACAGAGGATGGGTCTAGCAAGTAGCAAGCTTGTGAAGTAGGTGACTTTTGGTGGAAGCCGAACAGGAGACCCCCTTCCTCATTTTCCTTTCCTGGGTCTGATTCTGTGACAGAGGAAATGTCCTGTGACTTCCTAGTGCAAGGCTACTATCTTACCTCCCTTCCTGAAAGTGGCCTTTGGAGGGACAGATGCTGTTGATTATCTTGCTATTTCCTCTCTGCTCAGAGCCTCAAGTCTGACAGCCTGCAAACGCTGTCTCTATGCTGGGTAAGTCCTTAAACCACACTGCCCAGGCTGTCTGCAGCTGCTGTGCTCAGTGCTACAGAGTGGCTGAGCGGAGGGAGGGGATGCCGGAGCACAGCAGGATCAATGTCAATGTCCACAGGTTTGTATCCTGAAGTATGACAACATGGTGAGGGGAGAGGCATAGGGACCTCATGCAGACCTGGCTCAAGGAATGATCTGCTCAGGAAAAAAGGATCAACAAAGCAAATGAAGAGCCCCTGTGTGCAGAGAGCTGCAACTAAGGGATGAATGAGTCAATATAAACCAGTAGAAATTTGACATAAGCCTGAAAGAGATACCTACTCCATTATGCTGCCATTAGACAAGCTGATGCTAATATTTATATGGGAAAAACAAGCAAGACTGGACAGGACACCTGGGACAAAGTACTGCAATGAGGAGGAAACTAGCTCTCCAGATGCCCGTGCTGCAAAGCCTCAATAATTCAACTAGAATGGAAATGGCCAAATAGCCAGACGTGCCAATGGAAGCTTAGAAAATCCAGAAATAGACCCAGACACACGTAGGAACTGGTAACATATAGTTTCTGATAACAGTGGTGTCTCATTTCAGGGGAGGTAAATGTTAACATTTTAATAAATGGTGTTAGGACAAATGGATTAAACACCCAAAGAAGACAGAACTGGATCCATACTTCACAGTGTACATGAGGCGAAGCTCCCAATGGATCAAAATTTAGATGTGAAAAATGCAATCACAAAAGCATAAGAAGAAAACATGGACGAATTTCTTTGGAACCTTGGAGTAGAAAAGACCTGCCTATGATTTAAAGAACCAGAGCCATTAAAAAAGTATTGAATAAAAATAAAAACCTTCTAGAGAGGAAAAAATAAGACAAAAGACAAAAAAATAAATGGGGGTGTGGGGGTGGAAATCTGCAGTTCAGGCCTCCCTAGCTCCTAGAAATTGAGAATATGAAAAACCAATAATCTAATAGAAAATGGGCAAAGGATTTGAATAGAGTTCAATAGTAAAATGTTTTAGAGTCCTGGCACACTTTCTTGCTTTGCCAGCCTTTATATGCAAATTAAAACTATACCGAGATACCATGTTTCACATATCAGTTTTGGAAAACCCCAAAATTTGAGAAAATACTCACTCCACTGGTGAGGTTTTTGGCAGACATAGCTGGTGGAAACGAAAAATGGTTCAACTCTTGTGGGGGCAGTCTGGTATTCAAAAGTCCATGAAAATAACTAATGCACCACCTTTGTTCAGGAACCCCACCTCTGGGAATGTGTCCACAGTTACACATCACATAATCACGCCTGAACAAGATTCATCACTGTAACATCATTTGTAAGGGGTAAAAAACTGGAAATATCTCTGGTGTCTATCAGTAGGAAAGTGGTTAAATAAACCATGGAATATCATACAGCTGTTTAAAGAAAAATGAATGGGGAGCTCTTTATATTCTAATATGGAAAACTCTCCTTATTATAGTAAGTGGAGAAAGCAAGTTTTAGAACAGTATGTTACCATTCCTGAAAGAAAGGGAGAAATAAGATTGCACATTCACATTGGCATGTATTTGCATAAGCAACATTGGGCATGTATATATGAAACTGATATAGGGACCTGGAATAGAATGGTCAGAGATGCAAGAAGGACCGAGACCCATGGTCTGGGTCTGACCCCTAAATGAGGGGCATCTAAAACCTTCCAGGGAAGCCAAATGGATATATTAAATTTCAGATTTAAAAAACACGTTTTTAGTCAATAAGAAGAAATTAAAAGAAAAGAGCTTGTTCTGAATCTCTACCTACCCCAAATCCTCAGTCTGAATTCCATCTTCCAATCTGCCAAATCTCAATGAGAAGCTTGGAGTTACTGTGTCCCAGGAAGATAACTTACAGCTGACTGCCCAGTTTAAGTTCAGCTATTTGCTTAGTGTAAAAGCCCAAACCAGATTTCTACAAAACAAACAGTAAGATTATACCATGACTTTGGGAGTACACATGTATGTCTCTTGTATATTCGACTTCATGCTGTAAATATTTAAAATAAAGCAATCCTTTATGATGTTTCACAAGGGTATGAGGGATGTATTTACTCATTCGTTCACTCCATGTTTTCCCAGCATGCACTTGGTGGAAGGTTCTGTGTCAGACCCGAGGGTCCCTTGCCACTGGGAAAAGTAGCCAAGGCCTTCTGGTTGGCTGCATGACTTCCATGGCACCCTTGGTCTTGTGCCACTCACCCTCATATTCTGTGCTGTGGCCACACAGTTCCCCTAATTCCTTGCTGTGCTGTCCCCTCTGCTATATGCTGTCCATACTGTTGTCTGCCAGATAAGCTCTTTCCCTCATTGCTTGATAAACTGACTTCTACTCATCCATCAGGGCTCAGCTCAGTAACTGATCACACAAAGTGGTTGCCAGGGGCTGAGGAGTGATTGCTCATGGCCTCTGGGTTTCTTGGGTTGGGTTGATGAAAATATTCTGAAATTAGAGGTGATGGTTACTAAACTCTGTGAAAATAGTAAAACTGCACTGGACACCTCAAAGAGTGAATTTTATGATATGTGAATTATATTCAATAACTTTTTTCAAAAAAGGCCCCTTCTTCAAGAAAGTTTTCCTGGATACAGTCAGACACCCATTACCTCAGAGGACCCTGTGAAACCCGTTATGGCAGGTATCACAATTATAAACAGTCACTGTGTCACTGGTGCTTAAGCACAGTGTTGTGCTGAGGACAAGGTGGTGGGAGGCATACATTGCAGAGAATTTAAAAACAACAAAAAAACAAGTAAAAATTGATCTTTTCCTTACTATGCCATGCCTGGCAGTTCCACATAATGTCAGTGATAAAATACATTCCCCCCCTCCAAAAAATTTTTTTGGTCTAAGTTCTGAACAATTGCTGTTGAGTTTAAGTGATATAAATGTAAGCTTCAAATTAACATTCTTATTACTTATCCTTTAGTAAACACTGTGTTTTACATGGAAACTAATGCAGAGAATTCTCAATTACATCCAGTACCCCACAGATGAACTCGGCTGCAGGGGTTCCTTTGGAGATAAATTTGTCACTGTAACAGTTCAAAGTGGCTCAGCTGGTGTTTCGAGTCCTGTGCTACTACAAATACCTGCCTTTAAACTGCAGATTCAAAGTAAACACTGATAGCACACTAATTACAAAGACAGAAAGGGCACTTGAGGTGCTTCAATTGTGTCAATCCATGAAATAACTTGAGTTTTTATTTGTTTTAAAATTTAAAACAGTGATTCAGAATGAGAAGTGTGAAGTATAATATTTTTGGTGGGTGCAAAATTTCAGTTCATATGTGAAATATTTTACAGAACTTGACACTGAAATTTATTCTTTTCTAATTGTTGTTTGTTTTAAACCGAGGAACAAATCAAGAAAAGAAATTGTACAACAGTGGTAGGTACCATAGGGTAATTGCCTAAATTGTACATTTTACAAAGATTTTGATTTTCTTAAAGTTTAGCTATTAGTTACTGAACAATTATTTACCAAAAACAATAATATATGAGACTGTAACCAAAGGGTCAAGTTTAATTTTAGACATGAAAACTAATGAATAATCAGATTTGGCTTTTTCCCCTTTTTTGCATAATAATATCAATTTTATTTTTATTCTTTTTTATTGGTAAGTTACATACATGAATATTCAACATGAGGAAACTTTCAGTATTTAAATTTCTTTTCTGACCTTTTTTGTGATTTGTATCAATTTGTGATTATTGCTGAAAATAATTTATTAAGAAAAAGGAATTACTTTAATACTCCCTCTATTAAACAGTAAATATTCATGAAGGATATACTAATGAGTTACATATGTTCTTGAACATATCCTAAATATGTTGAGAGTATGTTGAACATATAATATGGATATATATTTTTGAAGGATATTGACATTCATTTAAAATATTGAGGAAAATATTCTTCAAAGCAAAGTTCTGGTAAATTGCTAAATTTGGTAAATTAACTGTTTGGTATCTTAGCCACTCAGTGAGCTGTCTTTAACCATAAGATAGTGTCATCTCTGTTTATCTCCATGGGAAACTGAGATGTAGAGAATGTGAAAATAATTTGTCTGCAGTCAGAGCATCAGTAAAAGGAGCTGTGATCTGAACCAGAATCTTCTAACTGGAGAGCCCACTCTCTTAGCCATTATCCTATATTGCTTCCTCACACACATACTATTAAACGAAAGTTGCCCATGACATGCCATCCAACCAACCGTAACTTCACCAGAAATGCTCCCTAGGTGAATATGAATAGCCAGATGGTGATACAGAATCCTGGTGAGTCACCCTCACGCTTTAACTCAACCCTCAAGGATTCGAGCTGACAAGCAGGCAACAGGTTAAATGCCCAAGGACCCACTTCCAGGGTGATTCATTGGGTTCATTTCCTGGACCGGGTGCTTTTTGGATCATACTGTATCATTCCTGACTCAGGGCCTTTGTACCCATTGTTCTTTTTTGTCTGGCTCTCCCTGGCCTTCCAGCTCTTGAAATAAATGTCATGTACAGGTTCAAAGAAGCCCTCCCTGACTATCTTATCTAAAATGACCCCTCCCTATCACGAACGCTTGCCTGTTTCACTTATTTATAGCATATACCTTTGCTTTTGCTAGCTGTCTCCATTTTTTCTTTCTTTATCAGATCAGTGACTGGCATATAATAGGTTCCTAGTAGGTATTTATCAAGTTCTTGAAAAAAATGACCATATGAAAAGATTAGTAATGCTGTGCTAAGAAGGATTCTGAGGTCACATCCCAGCTCAGTGGGACAGAGTACTGTGAGAAATTAGCCATGCCTGCCCCACACAGGATGTACCTGTGTGTCCCGGACTGCCATATTATCCAGAAGAGAGGCGCAGACTCGCAGCTACTCAGCATCCATCAACACGCTATCACAGGCTCCTTCACTGATGACTCCTCAGAGCTCTCCCTCTGGAGACAGAGAGCTAAGTCCTTAAGGGTACATAGGAGCTAGTCCCTGAGGAGGTAGAGCAGGGTTCTGTATCCCCATTTGGCTATTCATCTTCACCTGGGGAGCACAATAGGGGGACTGCTTAGAGTCAACAAGCCTGATTTCAGAGTCAAGAGGGTAAAGACCAACGATTCTCACCTTCGTTGGTATGAGGGATTTGATAGGTGAGCAAAGCTTACTCAATAGGTTCAAAGTTCATAAGCCAAGATTCTACCAGCTTCCCACAGCCTGAGTCTGAAAGGAAATAGTTCATTAAAAGGATGCAGGAGGATAAAACCAGCCCCAGTTGTACTGGATTCTCTCCTTCCCCTCCCAAGTCATTAACAAAGAGTGACACTGTAGTCTTTATCAAAAAATCTTGTTCCCTAAGTGGTGATACAGAATAATTATCTCAGCATGCAATCAGCACAGCGATCTTCTTCAAAGCAATTTGTAAAATTTGTGGCAAGGATATGCATTTTTAAAATAGATTAAATTTTCAAGAGCTTGCCTCTTAAACCTGGACAGAATGTATTTACAACTCACCTGGTGAGATGATGCATATCTCCAAGCTGGAATTCTCTTTCATTAGGCCTTGCTTAATTGAATCAAGCAAAGTCATTCTGGGCTTGTCCCAAAAGAAAACCTTTTATCTCAGGGCAAATGTGTCTTAACAAGGCCCTACAGCTAAATAAAGCCAGGGTGAGGTTTCCACTCACCCCAACTCTACTCCTCCTTTCAAAAGCCTACCACCCCAGTATATTTGTTCTTCCTTTAAGTAGAAAATTGCGTTTGGCGTTAACTGCTGCCCGTGAAAGCAACAGTTGTTTTCTCCCTCCCACTCCCTTTAACTGTTAAGAAACACCTTATCTCCCTTCCATGTTTTTCCCTCCCTTTCTAACAAAACAAATTGTACATATGCTGGAGTATGCTTTGCATTGCAAAGGCATGTTCAAGGTGAAACCAGGAGTTTTCTGATTCAGCCCTGGTTGGTTTCCACCGGATTGGCTCTAGAATTTAGGCTGTGGATAAATCTTGATTGAATTAACCAATGGTCAAAGACCGGGACTGCACATTCCTCCACACATGGGAGTGTTTGTAGGAGTCCATGCAGTGTTTACCATGGGCTGTCACACTCAGCAGCTAGGACACTGTGTTGTCTGCATGCACATGCTCCTTCACGTACAGACTCCGATTCTGGGTGGAGGCAGGGCTGGTCCTTGGGCCTCACTCTAGGATAGAGAAACTGACAGATAGTTGATGTGAAAATCGTGTATTTTTAACAGGTGGGGAGCACTCAATCTCTAAAACCAATCCATAAATCTGAAGCCTGGTCCGTTGCCTGCCAGGTTCCCTTTGAACAGTTTCTCCCGGACTCTCTGCAACTAGCCCAGAAGAATCTAAGAATCTTTGTCCAGGAAAGTGACTTGTCTTCCCTGGCACTTTCCGCAGTAGGTTTCCTTGACTCGGCATACACTCGGGTTCCAACAGAACTCAGAGGTGGCCGGCGCAGCATTCACTCCCGTATCCCGTCATCCTCGCTGCTCTGTCCCAGCCCTGGGCGGTTGCCTGTATCAAATGTCCCTCGGGGATGACTAATAGCGGATGCTGATCAGAAGCCTTCAGCCTTACGGTAATCGAGCCCGTGCAAACTTCGCGCAAGTCATCTGACGGCCACGTGGGCGGGCACTGCTGGTGCTCTCCCGCTCGCGTTCCCGTGACTCAGTGTATCACACGGGCCTCCGCGAAGGGCCGGAGTTACGTAAAGGCCGGCGAGCTCCCACCGTGCCACGGGGAAGCCGCGTGAACGCCGCCCGGGCGCCTCCTCCCTTAGCTCCGGGCCGACCTGGGGCGACCTGGCTCCCCGCCCCCTCGGCTTCCCTGAGGGGTCTGCGGGGCCCAGAGGCTTCCAGAACCCAAAAGCGGACCCGAGAAGTGCCTCGCGCAGGGAAAGGGCCCCGAGGGGTAAACCCAGAAAGGACCTCCTCCATCCGGGAGCAATCCTGCATTTCAGAGCCATTCCTCCCCCATCCCGGAGCCGGCAGGGGCGGGGCGGAGGAGGGAGGCCAGAGAGACTTACTCCATTACATAAACTTGTAATTGGCTCCGGCTCCTGCGGCTCGGGGCACTGCACGGCGTTTCCAACCAGATTATTGTGAAGCCGGGCAGCTTCCGATTCCCCTTTCTGCGCCCTCCTCCCGCCGTCCGCTCGCGGCCCAAGCCCCACCCTTCTGCCTTCCCAAATCTGCCTGATTTTCCCTCTTTCCAGTCCTCCCCTGCGTAAGGGCTTGCCCCCAGAAATGCACTAATTTAAACTGTATTTGATTATTAAACTAACCCATGCTAGCCTGCTAGCCCTGGCTCCAAATCAACATTGAGGAACAACAGCTCAGTGACTCAAGTGGCAAATGAGTGCTCCTAGACCAGGGGTGCTCACACTTTTTTGTGTGGGTGTCAGAAGGTCCTGGAGAGCATGGTGAAACCTCAAGAGTGCTGCGCCCCTCTCCCAGAGTCTGTTCAGTGGGTCTGAAGCTCCAGGAATTTTCATTTCTCCAAATTTCCATGTGATGCTTATGTTGCTGAACCACTACTACATAGGGGCGGGGCTGCAGTCTATATTTTTTCCCCCATTAAAGAAGGTTTGCCTAACAAATTGATAGTGTGAACAAGATGTCAGCAAGACCAGCCTTCTCTCAAGGACTGTCTGACATTTTTGAGGAATTCATTTACAGAGAATGAACATTGCTGCTCATTATAAAGCCTAAGTTCCATCCCTGTGAAGAAGGATGAAACAAGTTTTCATGAGCACTTGCAATTAGCAACCAAGATTGGTCCGTTCCAGGGAATTTGGAAATCAAGCATTTTATAGCAAGAAGTGACTTCAGAGACTGGCTGGCCCCAAACCTCACCTAAGTAAGAAAGAAAGGTCAGCAAGGTTGGTAGATTTGTGTAGTGAGCTGAGAAAGCCAGCATTCCTGTAAGCAGGTGTAACTATCTGGATAAATTGAAATCTTAGTTTTCAATCTTAATTTTTTTTTCAGTTTCCTAATCTGTGAAATGGGACCAAAGTCTATTTTCTGCATTATTGTGAAGATTGTAAGTCATGCATGAAAGCCACATAATTAGGACACCGTGCTAATTAGCAAATGTGCTAGGACTCAAATTCAAGACCCCTGACTTCTAATCCAAAATAATGTTTTCACTGCCCTACTGTGTAGGGCATGTTTCTTTAAAAAATATATGTCTGTGGCACTTACACCTCAAGCTTTTCTCTGATTCCAAAGCATTTTCTCCTAATTAGTCCAATTAAGTGAAGTGTGTTGGTAATTAGCACAGTGGCCTTGACCACTATTAATAATAGCAATAATATGACACATATGCAAGCCTAATCTGAATTATGTGGCTTTCATACATTATATGTAATTTCCATAATAGGGCAGCAAAATAGACTTTGGTTCCATTTCACAGACTAGGAAACTGAGAACAAGAGTGTTGGACTTACTGGTTGCATATGAGCCTGACTGAAGTGACAGTCACAGCCCAGGAACCAAGAGGAATCAAGATGCCACTTGAGAGCTTTGGTGAAATACAAACCTGAATTGGCTCATTCAATCTCTTCTGCTTTTTAAAACTGACATTTTCAATTGTGGAGGACTAGGGGCAAGTGTTAGGTAAATTACCCTTTCTTCTACCTCTGTGGCCCCTCTCTCCCCAGGGCAAATATCCCTAGAACTAAGGAATCTTTGAAACTTTAGTCTGGAGCTTAATATTGCCTTCTCTGAGCCCCTGAATGGCTGATCTTAGTGCCTAAACGGATTCCCCTGTATTTTCAGCAAACAGGGCTTCTGGTTATACCTTGGCACCTGCTTTTAGCAAGTCCCGTGAGAGATCCCTTGCTGCTCAAAAGTCACAGAAGTGAAAGGATTGGGAGGGAAAGAGCAGAAAAGCAGTCAAATAATATGGGTGGGTAATTGGAAATACAGAACTCAAGGTGGCACGGAGTGCCATCATGGATATGTGAGTACATGGCATTCACATTCCCACATGAAATGAGATGTGAAATTGCTAATCGCCTCCCTGGGGTTTGAGCCCCTGCTGCTGCGCCTTCCGTGGTGCCATCGGAGTTTGGGCACATTAAAATATCACAGCGTATGCTCATGTGTGGGGCAGCCACCAATGCTGATGCAAAAATGCTGTGAGGAGACAACTTCTGTCCCACGTGATCAGGCTGTGCTTCAGTATTCACAGGCGTTTTCAAAGGAGGTGGCTATTCCTGCTGTCACTGGGACATCCGAGGCCTCTGAACCATTGTAGTGATACACAGAGCAAGTTCTGAGCTGTCAGAATTTGCATGTTTTCTACATTGTTCCTTGTGTCCCCCTCTCCAACCTGACTCTGATTCAGCCTTTAGTTATATTTCATGATTGTCCTTTTTTCAGTTCTTCCCCATCCCCCTGTCCCCCATCTTAGATCGACTTGACCTTTAAGATCTTGAATTTCCACTTTGGTTCCCATAGCCGGTTGGATTATGAAACCACAGCTTTGCTTTTAAAATCCAGTCAGGCATTCGGAGATTTGTGTGCCTAATATGTCTTCAGGTAGGTGGCATCTGTAACTAGATAGGATCTATTTTAAATGAATGTGCTAGTCTGAATATTTATTCTGACTTTTCTCAAGTTAATTGCCGTAGATCGGACACTTATTTTCTCTTTTCATCTTGATATTTTCCTCCTAGGTGAGTAAGTATTTTAGCCTGTCCTTAGGTACTTTAATGGCAAGGTTTTGATTTATCGAACCTTTTACAAATTCAAAAGCATGGCTCGTGTTTCTTAATATTGCAAGTGAAGTTTTGATTGTTTTTATGGCTACTCCTTATGTGTGTAATATATCCAGACCTGTCATTTACAGATGTATCCAGAGAGGCAGAGTTAATATCAAACTGAAATAACCGCTCACCTGGATCCCTTTCAAAGTTGCAAAATGGGTGTTTCTCATGGGTTAATCACGTAGGTGTTAAACACATTTTCTTACCCAGCATGCATTATGAGGGCCTAACATGTCCTGCTCCTTCTGGGAATCTGTGATGGTGGCAAAATGTGAATAGATTTGATCCATGATGGGAAGCAGTGCCACTGGGGCTCTGAAAGCCTAAGAATGGGTATCTGACCTGTCTTTGGGAGGCCAGGAGGGCTTCCAAGATTAGATGATGCATCGGTGTTGTTGCAGGAAAAACAAGAGGCTGATGGACAGAAAAGTGGGTCAGTCAATTAAGATGGTGCTTGAAAGCATTCTTTATGTAAATAGATGTCTTGTTTATCTACAAATAATGAAGATTAAAAAAAAATAATGCCTGAAACAGAAGTTAATTGCTCTCACACATAACCAAAGTCCAGGGGTGATATCAAGGCTCTTTGGTGTTCTCAACCCAAATTCCATCTATCTAGTTGTACTGCTGTGCACTATCTCCTGGTCCATGATGACTGCAGGAGCTCCAGCCATGACAGCTTCATTCAAGGCAGCATAAAGGTGGAAGGAAAGGAAGGCAGGCCTTCTCCTTTTAAGGAAGCTTCTTGGTATGTCATATTCTCCTTCACTGATCAAAATGTATCATCTTGTTTCATATAACAGCAAGGGAGGCTAGGGTATGAGGTCTTTGGCTGTGTGGCAATAAGCCCTGGTAGAGTCAGGGCTTTTAATAAGGAGGAAAGGGAACTTTGGAGAAGCAAATAGCTGTCACTGCCAGAGTGGTGATGGTGGGTGGAGAGAAGGTTGTGAGAGCAAAGGAGAGAAAGAAAGCTTATCTTGTTTCAGAGAATAAAGATAAGTAGGTCAATTTGCCTTAGAGTTTGGTTTGCCAAGAGATAAGGCTGGAGAAATAAACAGATCCTAGGTCATGGGAGATCTTATAAGCTGTGCCTGCTGAGGAGCTGGATTGTTATCCTGAGGACCGTGGGGAGCCGTTGAAGGAATTTCATCCTTGAGTTAGAGGGAAAAATGCATTGGGAGGTGGGGACAGCGGCATCAAGGGGTGATGACAGCTTTCCAGGAGAAATGATGACACCCCAAACTAGGCAGTGTCAACAGGGATGAGGAGAAGTGAACAGATTCCCAAGATATGAGAGATGTAGAACTGGTCAGATGTAGGTGGTGAGAGAGAAGTGGCCAAAGATGGGAGACGTGCCAGAAGTTAGGCAGATAGGGCACCATTCACTGAGAAAACAGGGAATGCTGGACAAGCTGGATGGAGAAGGTGGGCTTGGTTTGGACACATTGTCCCAAACATTATATCTACACACTTAGGTTGGGTTGATCCATTGTTTAGCAGCTTTGTTGAGGTGTAACTTACATACCATAAAATTCACCCACTTTAAGTGTACAGTTGGATGAGCTTTAGTAAATTTATATAGTTGTGCAATGATTATTCACTTTTGGAGGACTTCCCCTGTACCAGAAATTTCCCCTGTATGCATTTATAGTCAATTCCCTCCCATCTCTAGCTCCAGGGAATCAATGATTTGCTTTCTGTTAGATCCACATTTTAAAGTGTAAGTTCAATAAAATGATGGATGTAGTGATTCCCTGGTGAGGAACTGAGGGGTAGGTCACGATCCCCCAGGAAAGTATACAAGAATCACCTAGGGGGCTTTCTCAGACTGCACATCTGTCCCACCCACCCACAAAGGGTTGCACTCCCTTCCCCACCTCCAAACCTCCCTCATGGTGAGCCACCATTAGAGTGAGGAATAAAGGGAGTTCTTAAGTAAGTTAGGGCAGAAAATGGTAGGAAACCTCTGAACTTGTTGGTTTTTTATAACTAGCCTAGTGAATATTTCCTGTTGCTGTTTTCAGCCAGACATTATCTAGATAGAGCTCAGATTTGGAGTATCCCAAATATCAGATGAGATGGTGCTCAAAAGCACCCTTTCTGGAACATCCCACCTTTCCGGGTCATTCCCTGGTTTTCCCACAGAGAGGGTCTCAGCAGAACTGACCTATGAACACTGACCACCACTCCTTCGATAAAAAGTCTTTCAAGGGCAGTTCAGCCATTTACAAATGCAAGGGGTGCTCCAGCCTGCCTGGAAACTATACCCATATTTTCTGACTGAATAATTCCACAGGTAAAAGCAGACAAATGATTCATTTTTAGTGGCACTGCAACCCTGTCGAATGGTTTGAGGACACATCAGTTTGAATGTCCCTGGGGTTCCGCAGGAAAACTGTTCCATTGGAAACACCTTCTT